AGGGGGGGGGGGCATTATGGTGAGGTATTATCTCGTATAAGAACTCACTACAAACCACTTAAGAAAAACTGAAGATCAGATGATAGAAAGGGTAGGTAGGAAGACAGAATCCCTCGCTGATAGGCCAAATATAGGTAGGTGGGAAGGTTGGTATAGTTTAAACTGGAGGAATTAAAATCGTTGGCCAAGTTATGAAAAATCCTACTTAAAGCGCCTAAAGGTATATTTTAAAGTAAAATTTATAGTTGGCCTACACTCCACAAACCAACGCAATAAAAGAGAAAAAAAATTGAATGCAAAGTAAGACAGTTAGTTGTGAGTAACCATGACTTCGGTCACCTGTGTACAAAGATGTCATCTTGGTCTCAGTGTTCTCGTCAATGTAGGTCAGTCCTATAGTGAAGAGCGGGGCGGCGCCGATGCCCAGCAGGATCTGACCAATTAGGAACAAGGGATACAAGTGGGCGTCTGAGTTCTTGCTGGATTGCCCACAGCCAGATAACTCCTCTCCTATAAGGCAAAGGCTGCTCGTACTGTTGTCCTCTCCTGCACAGATTTGAAAAAAAAAAAAAAACTCGGGTGATGAAGTGATAAAAAACATAAATCCTGAGAATAAAAGTGACAAACGTGTGTGTGTGTGTGTGTGTGTGTGTGTGTGAGAGAGAGAGAGAGAGAGAGAGAGAGAGAGAGAGAGAGAGAAAGGAGAGGGAGAGAGGGAAGGGTAGAAAGAGGAGGGGGTAGGGGCACAGACACTATGATACTATCACCTGTCCCCCCACCCCCACCCCCTAATTAAAACTATGAGAATTTCCTGAAATAATTTGATTTTAAGTTTAGTTTGAGTTAGTGAAAAAGCAAGAAATGTCGACAGAAAAAAGAGGGTAAGAAAAATATAAGTAAGACCTACCAGTAGTGTCATCCAACCGCTCACCTAATATCAAACTATGTTATTATAACGTGCAGTGCCGGTGCTACGAGTAGTTATGTCACCAACTCTTGGACGCCAACACCTCTCTGTTAGTTTTTGTAAGAGTTTTACGGCATTTGCAACACAATAAGGTTATATAAGTGCCGAAGATTAGAGGTGACACAAGAGAGTAAAAAACAAAAAAAAGAAGGAGGGAGATAAAGACGATAGACGTTTGATAGGAAAGAAGAAGCAATCCACACCAGAGCACCCGCCAACCACCCACACACCTCTCCAAAAACTTTGTCTGTTGGTCAGAGACACAACCTACAACTAGATGAAAAAGCGGTAAACACAATAGCAGTGGCAACAACTACAAGAGCAGCAACAGCGACAACACCACCACCAACAAAAACAACCGGTATAGCAGCAGCCATGCAAAACAACAACAACAACAGTGAAACAATGACAACGACAATGCTATCGACAATGACAATGACGACAATGACGATGATAACGACAACTACAATGACAGTGACAGTGACAATGACAATAACAGTGACAATGACAACGACAGCGATAAAGACAATGACAATGACAATGACAATTGTAACAACGACGAGAACAACGACAACAATGGTAGAAGCAGAGACAGCAATAACAACAACAATGAAGATAATAACAACAACACCACATTACAGCACAAAGCATCACCAGCAGCTACAAAAGCGGCATAACGAAAACGTAATAATAATTTTAAAAACAGCACTATACCTATGGCTTTAACCTTGTATGAGCCACCCAGGATGTGCGGCAAAGTGAAGACGAGGGAGCCCAAAGACATCACCAGAATCCCCATTGCCATCAGTCGGGGTTTGTGACGCTTCTCGCCAAAATAACCCACAAGTAGGAGGAAGACAAATGCCCCAAAATCATTGGCACTGGCAATTAATCCCGACCTGTTAGATTTGGGGAGGAAGTCAAACGTATATATACATCATGGTATATTTTAGACGATAATATTGATAGAATGACAAAAGAACAACAGATACGTTAAAAGTGGTTATAAATTACATGATGAAGAATCCTTAATTATTGAACGGTGAAGGGGTAACCAGCTTGCCAAGGCAATCGGATGAAAGTTAAAACCTTACAAGAATGGTAAAAAAATTACAACTCACTTTTATATCAGCCCTAATTTTCCGAGAAAGGTGTAGTACTTATGTTAAATTCATACACTGACACGCACACACACACACACACACACACACGCACGTACACACACACACACACACACA